ACAGTCATGATTGGTCAGTTTTAACTGTTAATTTTCAAAAGGAGCAAGTTGGCAGGCTTCTACTGGTGGGTTTGAAGCAAGCAACTTTCAAAAAGTACAAACTGATGAGCTATAGGAGAGTGGGTCTTATCAAACACAAAGTACTTCCTTCCTGAGGAGTGGTCTGCCTACGTGACCTGCCAGGTGTCCTGTTGGGTGTCACCTGGACTGTGAAGCCTGGAGTCCCCAGCCAAGCAATTAAGGCAGAATTCACAAAAGCAGAAAACATCTCGGTTCTTCAAATGAACTGTTTAGATAGCCTTTCCTGCAGAGTCAATCAAATAATTTTTACGAGTAGAATTTTCTCTCCTAAGAACATTTCAGCCTATTGAGGAATCGGTGATAGAATACCACCAACTTGCAACCTCTAATGAATATATGGATTTAATTAATGATTATCAATGACTGCTAACACCATCCAAAGAAATAAAATCAGATACTCTTGGTCTTCTGAGAGGAGAACACAGCACTCTCATTGTTGTACTCTTGCCAAAGAAATAAAAATTGAGCCCAAGTTTGATCAAATGTCTGGATTAGGATATAGGAAATGTTTCAGAGTTTGGAATTGGCAAAAATCCACACTGTAGGAAATTCTACAAGGCAAACACATTTCTGCCACAAAGAGAAAAAAGGGAAATGTATAGAAAATATTCTGTTAAAATATCAATATATACATTAGCCAATAAAGATAAATGGACCATGGCAGACACTGTACGTTATGCTAAACTGCTGTATGCAATACTTGTATCTTAAATCTGACTTGATGGTTAGGATCCCAGCTATTCTGCTTCCCATCCACCTTCTTAATGCACCTGGGGAGGTAGCGAATGATGGAGCCAGTACAAGCCTGCAGGCTATTTATTTGGTGAGTGATTCAAAGGAAGATGTAGAGGTCTTGCCATAGGGCATGTGGGAAGAAGGAGAAGCTAATGGAAAAGTACCTGGCTCAGGTGATCAGCTCTCAGGGCAATATGGGATCCTTGCAGAGTCTCCCTCAGAATTCTCTTTTGAGGAATAGAACATACTCTCTGGCTCTTGCTTCTGTTAGCCAAGGGCTTTCCAAATGTCTTTAACTTTCCGATGGTCCCAGGTTTGCAATAGCTGACATGATCTAAGTAGGAGGTCCCTGGAGAACCTAGGGGAACCCCAGGGCAGAAGGTGGGCAGTTTGGAGCATAATTGAGGTCAGGTGCTACCAACATGAAGTTGGTTACCTGAAAGATGAGTGAAAGAATGTGAGGTAGAGGCCAGAAATGGCTACTGCAGGGACTAGGATAATGCAGTATTTAATCAAACATGCCCCATCCTCCCATCTTAATGGGTGAACCTTTCTAGTAACGTCAACTTCCAGTGCATACCAAGAGTTCAGGTCCCCTGGAGTTGAGCCTCAGGATGTGGTGACACATGTAAAGATGACCAACCCCCTTTCTCAGCCCTGGGTCACACATGCCCCTGGATGTGTGACCTCATCCCTCCTCCAAGTTCCATTCACCCACCCCTCACAGACAGCTGTTCTCTAGCTACCTTTGCTTTTGGGCAAGCATGGCTCTTCAGGCCCATGTGGTCATAGCCATTGACCCCTTGGGATGGATCTAGCTGGAGGGGGGTCAGATAGGGACCCAGGGCAAGAACCGTCTTACTCAGGCCTAAAGGCAATGCTAGCTTTGTGCTGCCATTGACCCTGTGCCATCAGCTCTGGGGTCAGTTGACTTATAGGCCATAGGGGTCCAGTTGCTTCATTTGTGAAAGGGTTAGAGGGAGTGAACCAGTGTCACATCACTTCTAGCCTGGGCCTGGACCTGGAGGCAGGTCTGTGAGGGGACTATAGTGCTGCTCCACACAGTGTCAGTGGACCAAGGTTTGTGTTCAAGCCGAAGAATGCTGCTAAGGCCAAGGGATGAGGCATAGGATGAAGGCCATGTCCTTTACTTGCTGCAGTTTTCCTGGAAAGATATAGGAAAGTAAATTGATCATTTTTCCATAAAATTTCCAAATAGGATGAAGACGAGATCTACACCCCAATGAATTCTAAGTTTTTTTGAGGACAGTTCTCAGATAATCTTTCACTTTCTTTAAAAAAGATTTTATTTTATTATTACTTTTTTAATTAGAAAGGCAGATTTATAAAGGGAGGGAAAGACAGAGAGAAAGATCTTCCATCTACTGATTTACTCCCCAAGTGGCCAAATGGCCGGAACTGAGCTGACTTGAAGCAGGAGCCAGGAGCTTCTTCCAGGTCTTCCACGTGGGTGTAGGGTCCCAAAGCCTTTGGCCATTCTCTACCACTCTTCCCACCACCACCTCCAGACACAAGCAGGGAGCTGGATGGGAAGTGGAGCAGCCAGGACACGAACTGGCGCCCATGTGGGATCCTGTGGTTGCAAAGCAAGGAATTAGTTCACTAGGCCACCATGCTGGGCCCAAGATTTATATAATTTATTAGAAAAGCAGAGTTTCCAGAGAGAAATCTTCCATCCACTGGTTTATACCCCAAATAGCTTTAATAACTAGGGATGGTCCAGGCCAAAGCCAAGAGACAGAACTGCATCCAGGCCTCCCATGGGGATAGCACAGGTCCAAGCACTTGGACCATCTTCTGCTACTTTTCCAGGTGCATTAGCAAGGAGCTGGATCAGAAGTGGTGAGCAGCTGGGGCTCAAACAGCTGGGGCTCATATGGGCTACTGGTATAACTCATGGTAGCTTAACTCACTGTGCCAGTACTGGCTCCAAAACCCTCTATTGGTTTAAAAAAATTATCTATTGATTGTTAGTATCTAAAATGCCATCTATTTGCTAAAATTAATTTTAGATAAATATGAAGCATCTGAGCTTAGTCAGGACCCTGCTGAGGCCAGTTATGTAACACACGAGGGATTGAGCTTGCTGGACAGGTTACAAACCCATGGGGATGCTTTGGTGTAGTGCCCTGGGCTCCTGACCCTGAATTTTCTTTGGGTATGGAATTAATTTCATCCCAGCATGAGTCACTGGCTGTTTCTAGCAAATGATACCTTGCTCTGGAGTGATCTGTACTGATTTCTGACCCACTTAAGCCACACAGCTGCTCAGCAGAGCCTATTTCATTGAGTCTGTTCCCAAGAGTTATCTTCTAGGCAGAAGAGCTGTCCAGATATCAGGGAGCTAGCCAGTCCCACCAACCCTGTCCTTCTATTCCCTTCTTTTTTCTTGAATCTTTCTTTTTAAGATTTATTTACTTTTTTAGGAAATGCAAATCAGATTTTACAGAAAAGGAAAGACAGAAAGATCTTCCATCCACTGGTTCACTTCCCAAGTGGCCACAATGGCCGGAGCTGAGCCGATCCAAAGCCAGGAGCCAAGAGTTTCCTCTAGGTCTCCCATGTGGTTGCAGGGTCCCAAGGCTTTGGCCCATCCTCCACTGCTTTCCCAGGCCACAAGCAGGGAGCTGGATGGAAAATGGAGCAATCAGGACATAAACCAGCACCCACCTGGGGTCCTGGTGTTTGCAAGGTGGGGACTTAGCCATTAAGCCATGGTGCCGGGTCCTTCTCTTAAATCTTAGAGAACTTTCCAATGTTTGGGAAGGGAAAGTGCTCATGATCTGAATTCTTGCCGAAGGATCAATGCATATTGGCAAGTCTTTTTCTGTTTGATCAAACAGGCTACTTAACATCTCCAAGACTCAGTTTGGACATTTGTAAATGGGGGTAAAAACTGTAAGCACATTGCATGATTATTGTGATGATTAAATGAGATAAAGCATATATGGGGTTTAGCATCACATTTTAAAGAATTATGAATGTTAAGTATGATAAGGTGCTGTTACATATTCTCCTGTGTACGTGTGTGTAAGTAGTTTAAGACAGTATCTGGGGAAGTTAAGACACACTAAATTGGAACATAAAAGTAAGGAAACGAGAAAACCAGTGTAAAGAAGGATATTACAGAGCCAGCATTGTGGCATGGGGGTTAAGCTATCACTTGTCATGCTAGCAGCCTATAGAAGAGCAGCGGTTCAAATCCCAGTTGCTCTGCTTCTGATCCAGCTCCCTTCTAATGCACCTGGAAAAGCAGCAAAATACAGCCCAAGTACTTTGGCCCCTGCCACCCGTGTGGGAGAAAAGGATGGAATTCTTTGGTTTCAGCCTGGTCCATCCCTGGCTGTTACAGTCCATTTGGGTGTGAACCACATTAAGTAGAACATTTTCATTTTCATTCTCTCTTATTCTGCCTTCTAAATTGTGTGTTGTGTGTGTGTGTGTGTGTGTTTACAAAGAGGGATGTTATGTTTTCCCAGAACATCTTAAAAAGTTTTAGCTTTCTTAATCAGATACCGGCTTGACCTTTCATTCATTGATTTGCTTCTTCAGCACTTAACTCTGAACAGCTCATTGGCAGGCAACATCTGTAAAATAGAGTGAAGCAGTGGAGGGTGGGGGAGGATGGTGTTGTACCCCAGCAAATTAACCCCCTGCCTGTATTACCAGCATCTCAAATGAGCTCCAATTTGACTCCTGGCTGCTTCATTTCCTGTCTAGCTTCCTATGAGCCTGATAAAGAAGAAGACAAAGTCCTTGGGTCCCTGTATTCACATGAGAAGCCTCGATGGAGACCAAGGCTCCTGACTTCCACCTGTCCCAGGCCAGGCTGTTGTGGTCATTTGGGGAGTGAACCAGTGAATGACAGCTTACTCCATCTATCTCTGTAATTTTAAAATAAATCTTTTTTAAAAAAGAAAGAAAAAGAGTAAAACACCTTGCTTGTATCTCAGACTTGAAAGAGGATCCAAGAGACCTCCAACCAAACACAGCATGTCAAGAACTACGAGAGAAATGGGAGACGGGCGTGTGCACAATGCTTGCCTCAGAGGCCATGCAGAGAAGCCTTTGTCCCCTGTGTGCAGTTACTTCCCCATTGTTGACATGTCTGCTTTGTGTTTGCCTTGCAGAAGCTGTCTGGTTACATGTGACAAGGTAGGAAGATGGCCAAAGTCAGCACACAGCACTCCCACCCTGCATTGACCCACCTGGCCATGAAGAGCACAGGCAGAGATCTTGAGTACATTGAGAATGGCCTCAGCAGGTGAGTGGGCTCTTGGCGTCAGGCCTGACATCCCAGTTTCCTTAGGTGATCTGGAATGCTTCAGTGTAAGCCTGTGACAAGTGGGAGGAGGGGGCACACACGGCTCTCCCAGCTCCACCTTTTAGCTCCTTGAGTCCTCATAACCCCAGTAAAGCTATTTTGATTCTCATTTTAAAATAAAATACAAGATAAGGCTCTAAGAGTTACATAACTTATAGAAGGTAACAAAGCTTCAAGCACTGTGGATAAAATTCTATCATAGAAACAACTTGAAAATTAGACATTCCCTAGCCCCAGGAGTGCATCAGATGCCTGGACCTCATGCCCACCAGGATGGTCAAGGGGCAGGCCCTGATCCTGGGCTTACACAACTGCAGGTCCTGTCATGCCGGAGGGGCCATCAACCCCATCAACAGCATCTGAGTGTAGGCAGCCACATGCCAGTCTGGGACCTGGAGCTCTGCTTCCTGCCCTGTTCTGCCTTCCTGGTTGGATCTGGGAAATCACTTACTTTCCCACGCCCGGGTTGCTTCACTTGCAAACAGAGCATTATTCTCTCCCATGATCCTGATATACGTTTGAGGGAGGGAGGATCCTCTCAACTTACTTTTATGTTTGTTTCTGAGAGTCTCAAATGAGATAACTGAATTGGACTGTAAGAAACTTTCCAATATCTCTGTTATGTCCTACCTACATAGAACGGAAAATTTCTCCCTCCTGAGAAATTATTCGCTTATTATCTGGTGACTCAAGAGCACAATGAGAGGCCACCATCCCCCTCATCCATCATTTCTCCCACACTTTGATGTACATCATCTCCTTTCTCAGATGCACATTTGATTTCATCTCTAAGCTCTCAGTCTCAGCTCATTGGCAAACTCTGCTAATGAATGATGGTCACCGATTTCCAAGCAGATTGGGGTCCTATTGTTGCAAGCTGATGCGGCCCTTGCACTTCACCTTCTGCAATTCAGAGGAGCTCCACTTTAACCTAGTGCTGGGGTCGCAGAAAGCTATTATTATTATTATATTAATTATTTTGTTTGAAAGTCAGAAGGAGAGAGATCATCTATGTGCTGATTCACTCCTCAAATGACCACAGCAGCCAGGGCTGAGCCAGGCCAAAGCCAAGAGCTTCTTGTGGGTCTCTTTCATGGATAGCAGGGGCCCAAGCACTTGGGCCATGCTGTGCTGTTTTTTCCACGTCGTTAGCAGGGAGCTAGATCCAAAGTAAAGCAAACAGGATACATGGAATGTTCAAGTCACAGACTCCATCTTTACCTTCAAGGCCACCATGTTGTCACTCTCCACCCAGAAGTTTGATATAACCTCAGAGGCATCAGAAAGTCACATTCTACTCAAATATGTCCTCCTAATTAACCCTCTGTCAACCCTGATGTCCCACTACTGGAAAATTCTTATGCTAAGGCATTGTTCTTCATTTGAAAGAAGAACAGTTCCAGTGTTATGGAATAGTGGGGTAAGCTACCACCCATGTAGCCGCAGTTGGAGTCCCAGCTGCTCTACTGCCAATCCAGCTTCTTGCTAATAATGTGCCTAGGAAAGCAGAAGAAGAAAATAGCTTGGGTTCTTGGGAACCCTGCACCCACATGGAAGACCCGGAAAAAGTTCCCGGTTTCAGCCTGGCCTAGCCTGGCCATTGAAGCTATTTGGGAATGAACCAACCCGATGCAAGATTCTCTTCCTTACTCTGTAACATTGTCTTTCAAATAGTTCTCAGGATAGCTCTCCTCTGTGAAAGCTTTGGTTTGTGTACTACTAATTTCTTTCCCACTGTGAGCTGATAGAGCTTCCTAAAGGAGTACCCTAAAGAGAGAGCTGAAAGTTAGAGCAGAGGGAGCCTGAGAGTAAGCCACAACAGTAGCATCAGGCCCCTGAGCTTTTGGGTCCAAGGCATGAAGGCCAAGGCTGTGAGCATCAGGGAGATTGTGAAACAGAATTGAACCTTTTCCCAATGGTCCCTTGTGCCTGGAATGGGGCATAATCCCAGCATTTCATGGAGCTTCCAGACTCCCCAGGCCAGAAAAGGATCCTGGGCCAGCTCCACCCAGTAAGATACAAAAGAGAAGATAGGCCTAGTTGGGAGACTGGGGCTCCTGCTCAAAATGCCTGCTGGACAGGATTCTACTCTGGTCCAGCTGGTTTGTCCTGGCTTTGCTTTAGCCAGCAACCTACTGTGGCCTGTTCTAGAAGGTTCATGAGGTTCCTGGGAAGACAGCTCTTTGCAAAATGAGTTGCTAGCCCACTAAGCCACACTGATCAGGGGTCAGAGCTCCAGCCTCTGAGAGCCTCACTGTGGGCTCAATACTGTGTTTTATGCTGGCAACAGTCACATGCTCACTCAGGCTCCACCTCGAGGTCAGGAGCTCTGAATTGATGCCCTTGGACAATGTTATTTTTCATCCTTAGGCATGACAAACTGTCTTGTCCTCTTCTCTTCCATGACCAGATTGAAGATTTAACAGCCCAGATCTAGAGTCAGGCTGCTTGAGTTTCAGCAGTTGCCTCTGCAACTGACCAGCTGTGAAGTTACTAGATCTCCCCAGGTCATCCATTCCCTCATCTGCAAAATGGGTTTGACCTAGGGTTGTGGTGAGGTGAAAACCAGTGGTAATGACACAGGGCTCTCAGACGAGTTCCTGCTGTAGAGGAAAGCGCTTGGGCAGCCCTCACACTGGTCTTGGTTCTCCCTCCTGAACTGTCTCCACTTCACTTGCCCTTTGATCTAGGAGAGTCCAGCTGACCAGATATCTGGAATTGGCCGCTGTCTGCATGTGTCCAGTCTAGTCACAAGCCAGGTCTTTTAAAGTTCCACTGCTGGCCTGGCCTTGATCATTCATATAGTGCAAGCTCACTTGCAGACGACTGTAGAAGCTTATAGGAACACTTCAGAGATCTCATATAGGAGAGAAAGAAAGAATGCTTCCTTCAGGAGAGTGTAAAGTTTTTTGTTTTTTTTTTTTAAGATTTATTTTATTTTTATTGGAAAGTCAGATATACAGAGAGGAGAGACAGAGAGGAAGATCTTCCATCCGATGATTCACTCCCCAAGTGAGCGCAACGGCCAATGCTATGCCGGTCCGAAGCCAGGAGCCTCTTCCGGGTCTCCCACACAGGTGCAGGATCCCAAAGCTTTGGGCCGTCCTTGACTGCTTTCCCGGGCCACAGGCAGGGAGCTGGAAGGGAAGCAGGGCTGCTGGGATTAGAACCGGCGGCCATATGGGATCCCGGGTGTGCAAGATGAGGACCTTAACCACTGCGCCACCGCACCGGGCCCAAGTTTTGTTTTTTTCTAAAGATTTATTTTATTTTTAATTTTTATTGGAAAGGCGGATATACAGAGAGGAGAGAAAGAGAGGAAGATCTTCCATCCGATGATTCACTCCCCAAGTGGCCACCAGGGCCAATGCTATGCCAATCCGAAGCCAGGAGCCCCTTCCGGGTCTCCCATACAGGTGCAGGGTCCCAAAGCTTTGGGCCGTCCTTGACTGCTTTCCCGGGCCACAGGCAGGGAGCTGGATGGGAAGCGGGGCTGCTGGGATTAGAACCGGCGGCCATATGGGATCCCGGGTGTGCAAGGCGAGGACCTTAACCACTGCGCCACAGCACCGGGCCTGAGAGTGTAAAGTTTTATGAGGCACGAGTGTGTTCACAGTTAGAAGCTGCCAGAATGTTACTTCTAATCACCACGGAGTGCCAGGAGGCATTGAGGATGGACTAAAACAGCCTCAGGAAGGAAGGCTGGGCTCCAGGCCCTCTCCTCTGCTTGACAATCCAGCCTTACATCTGTCTAGTCAGAGATGAAGTTTCCATGTAAGACTGACTTGAATAACATAACAATTTCAAAGTTTAAAATCACTCTTTTAGGAGAAAAACGCTATTTGCCCAAATTATACATCTTTGGGATTATACATCGCATACAATGGCAGCATCCCATATCAGAGTGCTTGGGTTTGTTCCCAATTCCAGCTTCCTGCCAGTGTACACCCTGGGAGGCAGCAGGTGATGGTTCAAGATGTCCTGCCACCTTCCTAGGAGATCTGATTGGGTTCTCAGCATCTAACTTCAGCCCCCAGGTGTTGCTGGTATTTAAGAAGTAAACTGGTACATGGACGAGATCACTTGCATTCTCCCTATGTCTTTGCTTTTGAAGAGGACTTCAAAAAGAAACCTACACATATTTACCTTGAGTTTCCAGTCCTTTGAGGACTATTTTTGGAACAAACAGTTGAGAGTGTGTGGAGCTGCCTGTTGATCCTTCTTTGTCACCCCTGAGGCAGCCTGTGTTGGACCCTTGGAGTCAGCCCTTTGCTGAGTATCCCCAGGAGGAGGCAGTTGCCCGTCTCCATGCCAGGAGGAATTCTCACCCCCAGGTCTCTATTTCACCTAACTGGTGGCTCCATTTTCTATTTCTCTTTTTCAAATGACTGGAATTATCTTCCTGGTGGAAAATCCTAAGGAAGGTCTAAAGTGCCTCCTTAGAATGGAACCCATTTTACACTCCAAAAATTCCAGAAATAAAAACGCCTGGAGCTTATCGTTTCAACTGAGATTTGTTCCATTGACTCAATTATGAACGAGCTGTCTGGCATATTTTTGAGGATAGTACAAATGACTGAAGGATGTGCTGTGGAGAATTGCAGTGAGGGCTGAGGGCACCCCAAATCCCAGCTCAATTTCCTGCTGTAGCTGTACTGAGTGAGCTGTGGGCATGGGGGTTTGTGTCCTATTAGAAAGAGGACATCTTCCCGCTGTTCCAAACGTGGAGCCCAAAGCAATTATCACCAAAGAAAACTATCTTCAGCTGCTTTCTCCAGGACCAAAGACGCAAAATACACTGGCGTCAGTTCCCGGGTCACAGGTGGCCTTTGGCTGAGGGTTTTCATCATTCAAGTTCTTCAGGGCTTGAGAAGATCAAAAAGAACTCGCTAGGGGAATATGCCAGAATTCAGTGCATTCAGTGACCTGGTCCAGTTCTCGTGGGGAGGTCTCCATCCTTCCAATGACAGAAGACAAAGACAACCTTCACCTGCTCTACAAGCAAACTTGGAAGATGAGCGTAGCATGTTCAGAACTCTCCCTCTGAGCTCGTTCTTGCTCCATCCTGGCTTGAGGGGACTCTGCCTTGCCTTCTGACTACCCGCCCCCTGCCACACATGCACACACCCTGCCCAGGGCCTAAAAGTGCAAGGCAAGTCCAAGGTCAAGCTGGCCAGATCTGAAGTTTTTAGAGAAACAGACATTCCAGTCAAGACCTTGCTCCTGTTCTCAACCAGCTGCAGGCAGGACAGGGTTAGCTCCCCAGCTGTCCCTTCTCTGCCTTTCCCCAGGACACTCTGGCTCCGTAGCCCAGCATGGGTTGCCCAGAGCTCCTGGCTTTTCTTCACACGCGAGTGCCCTGTAGGGCTCAAGATGCCACTGCAGACTGGCACATCCTCTTCTCGCTTCCTGTCACGCCTCTTTCTGCTTGGAAAAAACTATTTCTCAAAGAAGTTGGCTTCAGCCATGTGTCACTTGGTGGTGAGGTTGCAGTCACTAAGCTATCTCACCATTGATCAAACATTGTAGAGTGTGTGGAGTCATCACTGAGTTGGGGTCTCCAGCTCTTCCTCAATCCTGCAGGACCTCCCACCAACTCACCATCACATACTCCAGGGCTTTGACCAAAACATCGTTGTAAGGTGCATGGCTGTGTCACTGCCAGGCATTTGACAAGGAGCTGAAAGAGAGCTTTGGAGTTGGCAGAATCACAACCTTTCAAGAACCAGTCCGGAGAGGCACTCAGAAGAAAAAATCCCCTGACATCCTGTAGCTTTTGTCAGAGAAGGGCTAGATGTGCCTTTCTGGGATTGGGTGTCTGAAATAAGACTTACACCGACATGAAATCCCCAAGGTTTTTTTTCCTTTGTTTTTAGATTTCCTTTGTGAAAGTCAGAGAAGAAGTTAACCCACAGGACATCCAGAGCTGATAGGTACTAGAGTAGGGATTCAAACTTGGTTCTCCAGGCTCCCCACTCAGGATGTCACTCATCCGGGCTCCATGTGGAAGCTCTCAAGTCTGCCATTCGCAGGCCTGCTTTGGAGTGGGAGTGAGGTTAGCCCTCCTTTGTAGCATCCCTTCCCCACCCCCAGTTCAATGTCATGAGCAAGTACATCTGCAGTCAGGATGTGCCCTCGGACAACTCACAGAAGCCAGGCTAGGCAGAACGGCAGGGCCAACGCTGCATGGCGTGTGGAATTCCAGAGTTCCCGCAAAGGAGGACAGAATACCCCCACCCTTGGGACTGTCCCTGGCAGAGACCCACCCAGCTGTCAGCTGCTCCCACTTCCTGCATCCAAGACCCCAGAGACAGGCTTACTTCTGTCCCTGCCTTCTCCTCCTGCAGCTGACCTTGAAAGTACATCCACTGTGGTAGGGAGTGGAGGACCAGGAGAGCGGGGGTTGTCGCTTCCAAGCTGTGCAGAGCTGTTGCCAGGCTCTCCTGTCTGTACAGTGAGATGTGCAAGGTGACAGGGAGGTACCGGGGAGTGGGGCTCCATCAGGTAGTTTAGGAATAAATCCAGTCATATGGCTCCGGTAGGACAGCCAGGTGTCAGAGCAGTGTCTGCAGTGGCATGTCTCCAGGCTCAATCCTTAGCCATGTGCTGTTATCTTTCATTCTAATCTGTGATGAATATGAATATGCAGCTAGAAGATGCATAGACTAAATGAGAGATACTTTTGACATGGGAATTTCAGCCTTTCCCACTTGGCAGTATGATCTTTGGGAAAGTGCTTGGCCTCTCTGAACCTCCACCTTCTGTCTTCCAGAGTTGTTGTATGGATTAAATGGTGAGCTTATACAGCAGCTGCTTAGTGGTTTGTGTGTTGTATCTTTGGAAAGTCAAGGCGTAGCACTATGAAAGGGCAGCATGATGGTCCCATGTGGTGATGGAACTGCTCTGCCCTTTTATGATGGTGCAAACAGGAATCCACACATACAAGACCTAAACACAGACCATCACACATACATACACACGCGTGTGCATGTGCACACGAGCACCAAGAAAACTGGGACAATCTAAATCAAACCATGAGCCATATCCATGGCAATATCCCAGGTTCCATAGGAGGGTCTCCCAAAAAGTTGGCAGGGAATAGAATTCAGTTTATTTTTGATGTCACAACACTGTGAAATCCATGCCTGAGTTTTTCCATAATATGCAGGTTTCATTAACTTTTTGAGATCCCTTGTATTTTTTTATTTCAGAATGTTTCCCACCCGGACATGCTTGTCTTTTTCATTCCATCTCCTATAAAAGTGTTTTAAGTGCCCTTGCAGAAGAGGAAGCTGTCAGACTCCGGGTGATTCCAGCAAGGAAAAGCAGCCCTGTGGGACAGCTGAGGGATGGAGGAGGCTGCTGGCAGGCGGGGGCCATCCAAGGATGCCATGGATGAGCTACGGGGTGGTTGTGAGTTCCCTGCCAGAGCAGGGCTGCCACTGCAGAAAGCAGGAAGCTGGGCGTGGAGGGCTCTGACCTTTGATTGCTCATAGAGGAGGGAGGGAAGCTTCTCCCTCCTGCCTCCGCTGGGGCCCTGCCTTGGTAAGAAAGCTGATTAGGCTGCAGTAGGTTATGTGCTAGAATTAATTTGTCTTGCCTGAGCTCCACCAGAGTGAAGTGCAAATCCCTGGAGGTCATGGCCGGGCTGGTTTTTCATCAAAGCTGATCAAACTTCAGCACCAGCAGGTGGTATTGAAATGGAAGGAGACTACTCCCCAGACCCATTGCTTGTCTCATTCTAGACAATTCTACAAGCCCCAGGCCCTGCAGGTGTGGATGAGGCACAGACTTGGGGGGGGGGGGGGGACAGGTGGGTGGTGAAGGGAAGATGGACCACTGTTCTCTTGAGGTTTCTGCTTTTCACTGCCTGTTGCCCAGGTGAGGCCATCGTCCCTTTAATTCTGCATGGCAGGGCACAACAGCAAGGGTTTGGCAAGGGGAGAATTGCGGATTTTTATTTGTAGTCAACACACAAATAATTAAAACTACATGAATAGGCCTAGGCCACTTCCATGCAATATTGTGGGGGCCCTGTTAGCACCAGGTGCCCAGAAAGGCTGTCTAGGTGATGCACCTGCAGCACACACACAGTGGGAAGGGAGGATAGGGGAGGGCTCCAAAGGAGGTAGCATTTGACCTGACCTTGAAGGTAGAATTTCCACAGTAGGAGATGTGTTGGAACCTAATCCTTGTCCCGGAAGCATTCTATAGAACTAGCTGCAGAGGCTTGAGATGTTGGGCAAGGCACCACTCCCGGCCCCTAGCTCTCCTGGGAACCAGACTGATGCTTCCTGCTGGTTCCTCCTTCAGGGGTAGAGGATCATTTTTCTGCCAAGAGCCATATGAAGAGTTACAATAACATTTGCAGTCCATACAAAATCATCAACTTGGGGGCTGGCATTATGGCGTAGCAAGTAAAGCCACTGCCTGTGGCACCAGCATCCCATATGGGGGCTGGTTCGAGTCCAGCTGCTCCACTTCCAATCCATCTCCCTGCCAATGCATCTGGGGAAACAGCAGTGGATGGCCCCATGGGAGAGCCCAGGAAGAAGCGCCTGTCTTCTGTCCACTGCTGCCATTTGAGGAGTAAACCAGCAGATGGAAGAGCTCTTTGTCTGAGGTTTCCCCCTCCAGACTACTGCAAATTTACTCAATTTCAAGTCCTGCCTACAGTTGGCTCGGCAGGCCTAGACTACATGATTTCCTGGGCCTTACACAGCCCTCAACTGGACATTACCCACCCCTGCTTTAGGGTAAGGCAGGCCAAGGAAGACAGCTCCTGTCCAGCCAGGAGCTGAAACCCGGGTGGGGAATGGCCAATATGTCTCTAGCAGACCGATCTTTAAGTTAATCATTTTATATGGCCCATGAATGATATTATAGATCTTCATGTGACCCTCAACAGAAAGCAAATTTCCCCTACAAAGGAAGGATCCCATTTGCCCCCAAAGTCAAGATCAGGTGGTAAACTCAAGTGGGGTGCCTCAGGGTTGAGGATCCACGGTGGCTTTTCTCATGAAGTAAGTCCTCTGGCCATCCTACCCTGCCTGTGACTTGGAGGCAGAGAGCTTGAAATCCATTTACTTTGGTCCTCATCTGGTTCATGGCAGGGCGTTCTCACAGAGTGAGGAGTCCTCAGCAGCAGCACAGCCACTCAGGATCGCTATGGAGACAAGAGGAGCCACAGGAGCCAGGGGCAGCGTCCTCACCAGCCAGGCACCTGCCAGGTATGACCCTTTTGAGCCTGCACTCTAGCCTGGGGGAGAGAAAAGCAGCAAGCAGGGGGCTATGTTTCTGAGTGGAGAGGGCGTGGAACCTGGACAAGGAGAGGCTGGAGCAAGTGGAGCAGCCTGCAGTTCATGAGGCAGTCGTCGCCTTCCTCTGAGCTCATGTGTTCTGAGTTCAGGGGGAGTCAGGAAAACTGCCTAGGTCTATGATTTCCTTCACCCCCAAGTGATATCGAAGTGCTTGCTGAATTCTAGAAGGATGCAGAAAGAGAGCCAACCAGAGGTGATGGCAGCAGAAGCAGGCAGTGGTATACCCTGGGCAACGGTGGCACTGCCTGCAGCAGTATCTCACCAGGGCACAGCTACACTCCACCATGGCATGCATCCTTATCTTCACAAAAAGCACTCGTGAGTTCTGACGGCTTCTGGAAGTGGGCTTCCTCAGCTGCACCTCCTTGAAGAACCCCACTGTACCCACACCGTGGTTTAACATTGTCAGGCCTTCTATTGTTATTGAAAATGATTACCAAAGAGAATGTATGTGTCTTTTCTTTGTGTTTCTCGATGGTAGGACATGCTATTGTGACCTGTAGGTTATTAGTCCATCAGAGCTGAGTGTTGAAGTTATTACCAGAGTTTTTATTATCCCTGTAAAAGGACACAGGAAGGCCCTTGGTTGTATAGCAGAGAACGTCCTCAAAGGAGCTCCAACGGAAGGGCCTGGGCAGGCTTGGGGGGACTGGGGCAGCCGCTCCCCTTTCCCTCTCACTTTCTTGTGGAGTCTCAATGGCCTTCATGTGGTTGTCTGCCTGGCTTCCAGCATTCTGACTTCCTCCACTCACACAGCAGCCAGCATCTGGCTGAGGGTGGCCCCCCTTGGTGGTGGCAGGGAGGGGGTTGCCAAGCTGAAGCTCCCAGGTGGGCCTGGCTCTTAGCTCATAGGTATGAGTAAGTGGCATGTGGATAAAGTATCTTCTCCCAGTCCTACAGCAGAGGCCAGACAGGGGGCTGTGCTTTGGGGAGAGCAGGATGGGGGTGCAGCAGGCACTTCTGAATCTGTCTACAAGAGAGCTTTCTGCATTTCCTAAGGACAAAAGAGTGTGACCAAGTCATGGCTTAACTCCAGGTTTCTCAGGGCAAGACATCTCATCAAGGCAGACCAGCGTGGCCCTGCAGACCCAGCGTGAGGAAATGAGAAGCTCCTGTGTCACTTCCTGTCTCACAAGGGAGGTTGGAGGCAGTGCCCAGGGAAGGTCACTCCTAGGACAGCTCAGATGAGCTCTAGGGACTTGGAGTGCTAAGCCCATGGCCTGCTGCCTCCCTAGTGGAGTGGGCTCTGGCTCCAGGAGAGGTACCAGGATAAGCTGCAGAGAGCTCCTTGGAGTTGTAAGAGAGAATATTCCCAAGACAAGCCCTGGAGCAAGGATCTGTGTTGTACCTGCAGGCTTGTGGCTCTAAACCTGGCTCTGAACTTTATCATCATTTAAAAAGTGTGTTGTTGGGCCCGGCGCAGTGGCGCAAGTGGTTAAAGTCCTTGCCTAGCACGCCCGGGATCCCATAGGGGCGCCGGTTCTAATCCCGGCAGCCCCGCTTCCCTTCCAGCTCCCTGCCTGTGGCCTGGGAAAGCAGTCGAGGACAGCCCAAAGCTTTGGGAACCTGCACCCGTGTGGGAGACCCAGAAGAGGCTCCTGGCTTCGGATCGGCATAGTATCGGCCCGTTGCGCTCACTTGGGGAGTGAATCATCAGATGGAAGATCTTCCTCTCTGTCTCTCCTCTCTGTATATCTGCCTTTCCAATGAAAAAATAATAAAAATAAATCTTAAAAAAAAAAAGTGTGTTGTTTTGCTGTTCCTATACCTAGCAAGAGTGAGATGGGAGGGAAGCTTGCTAATGTTCCTTTTGAAGGAAAGGACAAAGCCATTAAAGCAGCCCAGTTGGAGAAAGCCCTGCCCCCTCTGCAGGTGTACAGGGAGAGAAGAGGTCCTTAACAGAGTAGAGATGCCCCCACAGCCTGCTGGTCATCCCTGTGTCTGCCTGGCCCCTCACTGTCCTTCGTCCATGTCCACTCACTTGCTGCCACCTGTCCTTGTTGCCCTTCCAGGTGGCCGCGACTCATCATCTCGCTGCGCACCTGGGCCTCCAGGCATTTGCATCCCGAGGAGCAGACACCAGACTCTTTTCTGGAGCGCTTCCACGAAGCTGAGCTCAGAGAGGTGGCCAGCCAAGAAAGCAACGCTCAGTCAATCTTGGACCAGGAGACGCCAGACAGAGGGGAGAGGTAGGAATCCAACAGGAGGAGGAGGGGCCTCCTGCTGAAGCTAGGAGCAGTGGCTTCAGCTTCCTCCACCTTTCCTGTCCCTGGAGTAGTCACCCCCCCCCCGCGCCTAAGGTGCTGTGGGGGGACACGGTGTGCTTTAACAGTCTCCGCCCTGGTTCCAGGAGCCCTGCAGAGGGAGGACACCTTTGGGCCCAATTGCCCAGCCTAATTTGTTCCTGATTCCATTTTGCAAGAAGTCAGTTTAGTGGCTCTAGAAATAACATCCTCAGAAACTCATCTGGAGTCACTGGCCTCACCAGTCTCTCTCTGCATGGGGCCCTCATCCCAGGCACCCCGCCACCCATCTTGCTCAGAAGCAAGCTGTTTTGTAGCAGGAGAATCGGGCGCAAGTGAATGTGTATGTGCATTCTTGTCGAAAACAGATATACAAGTTGGCCAGATTTTGAGAGAGGCACCATTGATAACCCAGATCAGACCAGGAACCATTAGCAGAGTAGGACGGGAGGTAGAGGTGGCTGAGAACAAGAGGAGATTTGCAGGACAAGGGTGTGGCCCACCGCTCCACCACGACACAGACCTGTGGTGAGGGACAGGTCCCCCTCTCGCACAGGTGCTGCCTCCCTCCCCATCGTGGCTGGAGAATCCTCTCCACCTCCACTGCCACCACTCAGAAACAGTTTTCTGAAGGCAGAGAGTTTGTAATGCTGTCTGTGGGCTAGATCTTCAGGAGTGCAGTGACTAGCGAGATGAAAGGGGAAAGATAAACACGATGGTTGAGGGGCAGACGATCCCTGTGTCATTTGCTGGAGGAACATCCTTGGTTTTCATAGCCATGAAGCCCCAAGGTCTAGGGCTTAGGGCTGCTACTATGGTGCTCCTTTATCCAGGGGAAGGAAGGCAATGAAATCCCAGGAGAACATGGCCGATCTTCCCGAGGATTCCACCTCACTTCCATGTGGGTCAACTACGAAACATATACATACTGCTAACATAACCATTCAAGGACATTTCTTGGTAGCAACTACTGTTGGAGACCCCAGTCCAATCTTCTTTATGGGGAGAGGAGTGAGAATTCCCAGCACAGGTTCAAGTTCATATGAGCCTGGAGTGCAGGTGCTCAGACTCCCAGGGCTACAAGAGGGAGCCTGGGCAGGGGACAGGAGCCTGGGTACTGGCAAGGGCGTTTCAAGGTTGTTCTTGGCCCTGGGGTTGGGCATCTCCATCCTAAGCAAGTTCCACAACTACAACACTTGGGTGCTATTTGCTTGGCACCACAGACAGATGAAAGGGGAAAAGATGGAGGGGGACACAGGAGAGAGAAAAAAGGAGGATGGGAGGTAGGGGGTGAAAGAAGGGGAAACAAGGCAGCCAGCTGGACTGGTTCACTTCCTTCTGGTCATAGATTCCTTCGCTCAACTGATCATGTTACAGCCAGTAGCTGGACTACTTCCTTGGACTAGCAGAGATAAATATTAAGATTTCTTGTGCATTTCCCAGTGGGACGGGACGAGCAGACGGTTGAGCTAGGACCACATCAGGGCAGGCCTGAGGATGCCACAGGAACCTGCTGACTTGCAGGCTTCATGGTGGGCAAGTGAATGTGATAGTGTTAAGATGGCAGTTGGCCAACCAGGGAGGCATCGTGGAGGAGAGGGTTTGGGGTTTGGAGGACACAACCTCTCACCTGCAAAGCAAGGTGCATGCAAAGCAGACCTTAGTCCTCCCAGTTTGGGATTGGTGTATGGGTTAGAGTCCACCATATTCCAGGGACCTGCCTCCCCTCTGCCACTCCCTGGTCTCATGTGGGTTTTAGTTCCTTGAGGATCATCAGGAGAACAGAATCAGTTCAGACACAAGTAGGCTCAGCTGCAACCCAGATGGGGCTGGAGCCCCAGGCAGGGGAAGCAACAGCATTGAGCGAGGTGTCCAGTGTCCTGGAGGAAGGCGCCTGGATATCAGGCTGGAGTGTGACAGGCTGCCAGCTCTGTTCCCTGAGGACTCCCATGAGCGGTCCCTAGGGACCATGAACAGCCTGATCAGCTCCCTTCCCAGCTCTTAGAGGCTAACTGGCCTTCTGATTTTCTTACACTGCCATGTGGAGCTTGCACTGGCCTGTGAGTGCTGGGAGTTAATGTTCTTCCTGGTAAAGTTAGAAGGATTTCAAACTGCTAGTGCTCCTTTATCCAGGAGCCTCAGTGGAGCCAAGAGTTCAATCTCTCCTTCCCCAAGAGCTAACTTGTTTATCTGTCTCTGTCTCTGTCTCTCTCTCTCTCATACATGCCCCCCCTAAATTCTGCCCAAAAATAACAATGCCCTGTGTTCTTCAAGCTGCAGGGAGGGGGATAGAGGAACTGGGCAGTCACTAGGGGCAAGTGGTCCTGAGGAATTAAAACCAAGTTCGGATCCCCACGATGCTCTCTCTGTGTCCCTGCAGTGACTGGCCGCTGGCCAGAAGCAACACTAATGCCAGCAACAACACAGAGGAGGAGTAAGTACCCTGCCCCCTGCCAGGCTCCCAGTCATCCTCCTCCTGGTAGAAGCATAGCCTCTGCTCCTTCCCTGACTAGTCTTACCTCCCACCCTCCCAAAACACCAGTAGACATTCTAGAATCCTGTTCCTCTCATTGGAAGCCCAGTCCTGGGTTGTGGGGAGGGGATGAGGTCTGTACCACCTTCATTGGTCACATGGTGGTGATGGAGAAAGGCTTTGATCTTCAGCCTCCTGGGTCACTGCGCATTAGAGGGTACAAACCTGGCACTCCTCCAGCCAGGCAGTGGGCATTGATGAGATGCATTTTCCATCCCACAATGCCAAACTCTGGCCAACAGTGAAGTGCCCTTGTCTTAAGACTGGTTCATGCCAATTTTGTCATCAGGGCAGGAAATTTACATAGTTCTAGAGAACCCATGTGATTACTTTTTGCCATCATTTGTTGAGCTGGCAGAGTAGTCTGATATGTGTTTCTTTTTTCCAGAAGTGCCACGTGAGGACATAGCAAGTGTGTGCGTTTGTGTGTGAGTATCTGTGTGAGGAGAAAACGTGTGCCTTTGTCTGAGATGATACATGTGCATGTGTGTAAGATTATCTATGTGCATTTGTGTGAAATTGTCTGTGTGCATACATGTGTAATTCTCAGTTTTTACCGCTTTCTTCTTGAATTCCTTGGGGGCTGAGGATCTTAGTTGGAGATCAGGGGAAAATTGGTAATTAATGAGGACAAAAAAATGCCAGTTTCTTGACTTTCAATTAACAAAGAGTATGCCAGGCTTTTTCTTTTTTGCTTTGTTTTGTTTTGTTTTTTCTTTGTTCTCTGGATCAAATTTTTTGTATCTCCCTTCCTTTTTTTTTTTTTAAAGATTTATTTTTATTGGAAAGTCAGATTTACAGAGAAGGACAGACTGAAAGATCTTCCATCCATTGGTCCATTCCCTAAGCAGCTGCAGTGGCCAGAGCTGAGCTGAGCTGATCTGAAGCCAGGAACTTCTTCCAGGTTTCCCATGTGGGTACAGGGTGCCAAGGCTGTGACCCATCCTGCACTGCTTTCTCAGGCCACAGGCAAGGAGCTGGTTGGGAGGTGGAGCAGCCGGGATATGAACCAGCCTGTATGGGAAGCCAGCGCTGCATAGGGAGAATGAGCATGCTGTTCTACTGTGCTGGCCCCTCCTCAGCTTCTGTGTGCTGCAGCTGGGATGCGGACAAGGATGGCAGTGGCTGGCCCTGATGTGTCAAGTTCTTTTCAGATGGCTCCACATCTCCGCCAGTCACCAAAGTACAAGATTAGGAATTTTCACAGAATAGAGACTCCTGGGCACGGAAGACAGGGCAACTAATTTTTTTTTTTTTTATGGATGCCATCCTGCACATTTCCATCGCGTTTGCTCTTAAATCCATGGATCCTGAATGATTTCTTTGTGTCAGCCCAAACTGCTCCCCATCCAAACCAGCATTATCTCTGCAAATTGTGGAATTCTTCTGTAGATAACTACTTTTTTTCCTAGGCTCCCTACAGTTTGGTAGTCAAATGCCTTGCAAGGCGGTGGCCCAGGAGCCCCCAAATCCTGGACAAGGCAAGCTGAACCCTGTGCAATGGACCCCACGCAGAGCTGAGTGCTCCCGATAAGCTAGTAGGCGGCGCCCTCTGCTGGCAACATGACATTAACACTCCAGTGAAGGCAAACCTACCCCAGGGAATCACCTTGTCAGAGCACAGGAAGGAAGACTTGGCTCTTCTTCACCAGCTTCAATCATCGTAACAGTAGATTGAAGAGATGGGTACAACATACAGGTGGTTTCTGACTTGCCATGATTCAACCTGTGATTTTTTTTTTACTACACTAGCGTGAAAGCAATATGTGTTGAGTGGAAACCATGCACTGAATTTTGAAATTAGGTATTTTCCTGAGTTACCACTGTATGACTTGATCTAGGAGCATATGATTTATATATAATACATAATGTGTGCACAATACACCCATACACACACAAAGATTACTTATATCTCAACTTAGGATCTCAAGTGACCTGACTTCTTTGTGTATTGGGTTCCTCTGGTTTATATGCTAGGGATTGTAATATTGCCTATAAGATTGTATGAAGAGTAAATATGATATGTATGTTAGGTGCTTAGAATGGTGCTGTATAGAGTGCTTAGTAAATACTGACCAGTGTGGTGGGCAGGAACCCCTTGTCCCGAGATATGTCTACCATCCTGATCCTTGGTACCTAGGTGTAGGTTAACAGAGAAAGCAAAGGAGATGCTTTGCAAACATGATTAAGCATAGGATTTTAGGTAGATTTTTTCCAGGGTTTTCAAGGTGTGGGGCCAGGGTATTCATCCAAGCACTTGGAAGAGTGCATGAGAACAGCTCAGCCCACCCTTGCTGTTTTTGAAGACAGAGGAAGGGAAGTACGAGCCCAGGAATGCAGGAGCCTCAAAAATCCAACAAGAGCCCTGTGTGCACAAGCAGCCAGCATGGAAGGACCCCAGACCTGCAGCCACAGGGAACTGGATTCTGGCAACGACTCATGACATGACACTGCAATGCCCCCAGGCCCCTGAAGGTCACAGCTCTTGCACAGAACCCGTGGGAGGAATGGCATCATGACTTTGTGGTCAACTGGGAGAGCTAAGCTAGGCAGGAAGTCCTTGAGGACTTTCTGAGTCTTCTCAGGTTCCCAGGTCGCCTCCCCAGGTGAGACACCCTCATGTGGCTCACGAGATTGGGAAGCCTCCAGCACAGGCAGCAGTTTCTGAAGCCTTGTCCTGAAACTGCGCTAGAGTCTCTTAGCCCATCCAGATCCCTAAAACCTTCTGAAGCTGTGTGTCTGCATTTCCAGGAAGAAGAAGAAGAATGCCCTTGTGGTGGACCCCTCCAGCAACGAGTACTATCACTGGCTCACCGCCATTGCCCTGCCTGTCTTCTATAACTGGTGCCTGCTAGTGTGCAGGTAATGAGACACAAGCAGAGGGCATGACTGGGAGGCAGGAGGCCCCCGTCCTGGTCCCCTCAGGGCCGCCATCCAGCTGCTGTGTTTCACTGGCCTTGCTTCTAAAAGCAGGAGCTCCTGCAAGAAGAGAGACATTGAGACAATGGCAGGGAACTGAACTTGAGCCTGACCATGGGGTCTGGCACTATAGCCTCCTCCCACAAATTGTTCCAGAGTCTGCGGGGACATGTTGCTACTGCTTTCCAGAGGGGCCCTGAGGCCTTTCTGAGCATGTGCAGGGTGAGGATGTGGTGAGAAGGTCCTGTTCTTGGGGGTAAAAAGCATGGTTTGGGGCCTTGGAAGCCAAGGTATTAGGTCACAGCAGGGCAGCTGTCACAGGGTCCCCCTCCCTGTTCTTTGGGGTCAACTCAACCCTTTCTTGCGGAGCTCTGTGACCACGGGGGCAGAAAAGCTTCTCGTAGCCTGAGTCTGACCCTTAGCGGCCCCAGGTGGGCACCCCTGGATGGGAGCACTGCAGGCTGGGACATGGTTGTGTGGTGTAAGCCAGCACTGGCAGCACAGTGTGGCCTGGCCCTATGCTGTCTGTCTTCCTGTCTCTCGCCTGGCTTGTGCAGGGCCTGTTTTGATGAACTTCAGTCTGAGCACCTGATCCTGTGGCTGGTCCTGGACTACTCGGCGGACATCCTCTATGGCTTGGACATGCTGGTGCGAGCCCGGACAGGTGAGTGTGTATCCACCCAGACAAACCACAGGCCCTCAGGAACAGGGCCACAAGGACCAATGCAATGTTTGAGAAACTCCAGAATGGTAGAGTGGACATTATGTAGCCTTGACCATGAGAAACCAGGGATGCCTTGGCATATCCTTCACGGTGAGGGCAGATGATGCCACCTCAAGTGCCACCAGTCTGAACCCTTGGGCGGTACTTGGGCTCTGGGTTATGTTGTGTGAATTTGAGCAGGTCCGTCTGCCTCTCTGGGTCTTGCCTGACTCATCTAAAATAAGAAGGCAGAATTGCAACTCAAAGATCACCCCTACTCAGTGCAGCTTGGGGTCAGAAGAAGCTCAAGCCACCTAGGAGTTCCTCCTCTCTGACAGTGAGGAGTCCTGGGACATGGGGAATCCATCTAAAACAGGTCTGCAGTGAAAGACGACCGCCTTCACACTGCCTGTCGTGGGAACTGGGCACTGAAGCTTATACACACCTTGGGCTCTTAGCTGTGCCCTCACATGATGCTTTTGACATTGCCTAAGCCAATAGGTGGCCTGCTTTCCCCTTCCAAGATGATTTTTATAACATATGATCATTTTTATTTGAAAGGCAGATTTAAAGAGAGAGGAAAAGACACAGAGAGAGGTAGAAATAGAGAGATCTTCCATACAATTCTCTCCCCAAATGGCTACAATGGTGGGAGCTGGGCTAATCTGAAGCCAGGAGCCAGGGGCCAGGAGCTTCTTCCAGGTCTTCCATATGAGTGCAGGGTTCCAAGACTCTGAGCTGTCCTCTACTGCTTTCCCAGGCCACAAGCAGGGAGCTGGATGGGAAGTGGCACTTGTAGATGGAAGACTAGACAGTTGAGTCTTCACACTGCCCTCAGCCCAGGTATTCTCATGTGGGTTACAAGTGTCTTAACCTGTCATCCAAAATGCATGCCACTGTCACTTACGTGACATTGTTCACGTAAGACCCACCAATTACACTAGCAGAGCTGACTGTGGCTTCGTGGCTGTGAGCATTCCCAGCACATCTGGCTTTCTCAGTGGAACTGCTCCATGAGATAAGAGGCCCAAGCATGCTTATCCCCCAGAGACCCAGAGGGGGCATAGACCCTGGCAGGCCGTGGATAGACTCAGAAGGGAAAAATGTGTCAGTATTGAGAAAAGACGTTTTAAAGTGACAGCAAGAAATGTCAAGGCACAAGGAGGGCTCTGTGATGTGTATAGATTTGGAACCTGCAGATTCAACAAGCGGCAAGTTGAAAACAGTGCAAAAGATTGCACCTGTAATGAACGTGGTCATTTTTTCTTGTTAAACTGTAAATATTAAAATAATTACTTGCATTGAGTTGAGTATTATAGAGGTGATTTAAAGTGCATAGATGGATCGAATGGTTAATATGAAAATATTACAATGCTATTTAATGTAAAGATTTATTTTCATTTGAAAAAGAGAGTGACAGAGTATGAGAAAAGGGAAGAAGCAGAAAGAGTGAGTCTCTGTGCACTGGTTCGCTCCCTGAATGGCTGCAACAGCCCAGGCTGGACCAGGTCAAAATCAGGAGTGAAGAACTTCAAGTCGATGGAAGGAACCCAAGTGCCTGAGCCAGCTCTGCTGCTTTCCCTGTACTAACAGGGAGCTGGTATAGCCAGGACTCTAAAGCGACACTCCAGCTTGGGATGCTGGCAGCACAGGCAGCAGCTCACAGTACTGGTGGTCCCTACAGTGCTGTCCAGAGAACTAGGTCTCTGAAGGATCCTAGAACCCCTGAGGATGCCAAAGGATAACTTTGTAACAAAAGAGTGATACAAAGAATAGGAAGCTGGGGAGTGGGAAGTTCCTTATGGGTAACAGACTTGGTTTTCCATGTTAACGGGGAGCAGGCCACCTTCAGTGTAACCCTTGAGCATGGCTCCGATGGGGCTTGTCATCTGGGCCTCAGACCCTGGGCAGGGCCCAGCTCTTGGGGGGCCTCGGAGCCCTGCAAGCAAGAATAATATCCTTACTACCTTGTGATTAACACCCATCTGTAACCATCTCCAACATCTTTGCTTGTTTTGTTCTGTCTGTCTTTCAGTCCCCGTTTTCTTGCTGGAATGTCTTAAAATACATCCTAGGCAATAAATATTTAGCATGCATCTCTAGCTTTAAAGGAGTGTTTTTTAAAAAAAAAAAATATATATATATATGCGTATGTATATAATTTGCATTTCTTTTTTAAAATTGAATCAGTTCTTGCTGTCATCTAATCCCTAGTCCATATTCAAAACTCTCCAATTGATCCGCAGATTTTTAATGAATATACTTTAGTGTCACAAAAGAAAATTTCAGTGTACCTTTCCTATAGTAATGGTAAGCATCTGTTTTAACTTATTTCTCTTGTATATGAAAGATCACCAAAAAAATCATTAAAAATGCAATTTGCGAAACTTGTACAGGGTTGGTACCAAAATAAATTTACCTTTTAATTTCATTTTCCACAAAACGTTTTGGAATACACTTATATGCATGATGTAAAACAAAATAAACAGCAAACAAACAACAACAAATCCCCCAGCTTTTTGTGATTCAAAGTATCAACTTCTCTGATGCCTGTTGAGACCTCCCCCTTCCTCCTCAGGTTTCCTTGAACAAGGCCTAATGGTCACGGATGTGGACAGGCTGTGGAAACACTACACGAAGACCTTGCAGTTCAAGCTGGATGTGTTATCTCTGGTCCCCACGGACCTGGCTTATCTGAAGTTGGGCATGAACTACCCAGAACTGAGGTTCAATCGCCTTCTGAAACTTTCCCGGCTCTTCGAATTCTTTGACCGCACAGAAACCAGAACCAACTACCCCAACATGTTCAGGATCGGGAACTTGGTCTTATATATCCTCATCATCATCCACTGGAATGCATGCATCTACTTTGCCATCTCCAAGTTCATTGGTTTCGGGACTGACTCCTGGGTCTACCCAAACGTCTCCAAGCCAGAGTATGGACGTCTCTCAAGGAAGTACATCTACAGCCTCTACTGGTCCACCCTGACCCTAACCACTATCGGCGAGACCCCACCGCCTGTGAAAGACGAGGAATACCTCTTCGTGGTTGTGGACTTCTTGGTGGGCGTCCTGATTTTCGCCACCATTGTGGGCAACGTAGGCTCCATGATCTCCAACATGAATGCTTCACGGACCGAGTTCCAAGCCAAGATCGACTCCATCAAGCAGTACATGCAATTCCGCAAGGTGACCAAAGACCTGGAGACGCGGGTGATCCGCTGGTTTGACTACCTGTGGGCCAACCGCAAGACAGTGGACGAGAAGGAGGTGCTCAAGAGCCTGCCAGACAAGCTCAAGGCCGAGATCGCCATCAACGTGCACCTGGACACGCTGAGAAAGGTGCGCATCTTCCAGGACTGCGAGGCGGGGCTGCTGGTGGAACTGGTGCTGAAACTGAAGCCCACCGTGTTCAGCCCCGGCGATTACATCTGCAAGAAGGGGGACATTGGGAAGGAAATGTACATCATCAAGGAGGGCAAGCTGGCTGTGGTGGCCGATGACGGGGTCACCCAGTTTGTGGTCCTCAGCGATGGCAGTTACTTTGGCGAGATCAGCATCTTAAACATCAAGGGGAGCAAGTCCGGGAACCGCAGGACAGCCAACATCCGGAGCATCGGCTACTCTGACCTGTTCTGTCTGTCCAAGGATGATCTGATGGAGGCCCTCACTGAATACCCTGAGGCCAAGAAGGCCCTGGAGGAGAAGGGGCGGCAGATCCTGATGAAAGACAACCTGATCGATGAGGACTTGGCCAAGGCAGGGGCCGACCCCAAGGACATTGAGGAGAAGGTGGAACACCTGGAGTCCTCGCTGGACACCCTGCAGACCAGGTTCGCGAGGCTGCTGGCTGAGTACAGTGCCACCCAGATGAAGGTGAAACAGCGTCTGAGCCAGCTGGAAAGCCAGGTGAACCTTGGTGGGGGCAACCCTGCGTCTGACACAGGGGCTCCTGGGGACACACAACCCAAGGATAAAGCACAGTGAAGGCCAGCATTGTGACCTGACAGCGGATCAGGCTGCCACTTGTGATGCTGTGAACCCAGGTGGGAGTGCAGCAAAATTTCCGAATCAGCTCCCTCCTCAGGCTCCTGGGAAGGCAGTGGATGATGGCCCAAATAACCTGGGCTCCTGATGTCCACATGGGAGTCCTGGATGGAGTTCTTGGTTCCTGGCTTCAGCCTGGCCCAGACTTGGTTAGAATAGCCCAATTTGGAACCAGCAGATGGAAGATACCTCTTTCTTTCTTCCTCTTTCTCTGCCTTTTAAAATACCTAATACATTCTCTCTCCCTCTCTCTCTCACACACACACAGATACCCCTGTATCCTATTTCACAGCTAAGCTGCACAGCACAGGCCATGGCCAGGGGTCCATTTCCATGCACCCTTCATAAGCAGTGTGTTTGTAACCGGAAACCTCAGTTTTCTCTCCTAGAAAACAGACTAGGAGCAGCCCTAGGGGAACACCAGGTTGTTGCAGGACCCCCTTACTCCACCCCCCCACCAGGGAAGCACTGCATGACATGTTCCCAGCCCAAGCATAAGCAAGTGTGCAGGCAGGACTCCAAATATTTTCTTGGTGGAATTCACAAGGAGTAATCTTGGGTTTCTTAATCCTAATCTTAGAAACAGATTATTTTGTCACCATCCCCCTTCCCAACTTCATTCCACTGACATCTGTCTGTGGAGAGACTGTAGGAAGCTGGAAATACAACACAGTAATTCAAAATTAAGTTTACACACTGCAGATTTGGGATATACAAGCCTGCGTGGTTTTTAGAGTTAGTTAGTTAGTTTGTTTGTTTGTTTGTTTTTTACCAGAACAAGGTTATCTTTTAATTCCAAGTTCTCATGGGCATTTAGAAGTTCCCTTGCAATTCTGAATGGGGCCTCTCCTTGCGTTTTGCTCAGAACGCCAGAAGCCCTGGACCACATGGTCCCATGGCAGGCAGAGGTTCCATGAGAGAAACAGAGGTCATTGCAGCCGGGTCCCTTCCAGTGTGTGAAGCAGGCCCAGGCTCCTTGTGGTTCTGCCACCATGAAGCCCTAATCCTCTTCCCCCACCACCACCCCAAAGGTGTGTTGGAAGAAGAGAGGATTCCTCCTGCCCACTTGCCAAAGGGAACCCAACGGTGGCTTCTCCAGCCTCACCCTCAAGGCAGAGCCACGCTAGCTCCGGGCAGAGAGCTGGGCCGTTGAGGTTGGAGACTGGAACATGTCTCAGGCCAAACACAGTGACAACTGGGACTTCTTATAAGAGGGGGCCTGAAGGCCACATCTTTGCAAACTTTCCCTTCACCCTTGTAAGAGAAGTTCTGGTTCCCCTTAACTTCATTCTAAGGCAAAGCCCTTAGCTAAGCAAAAGCTTGCAGAAAGCAGAAACTAGCTGGTTTTTATAATAGATGTATCTGGGCTCTGTGACTGCACACCATGACCTTGACGGTCCATCCTTCACTTACGTTCCTGTTGCCAATCATATACATCGATGACGCGTTCGCTCCCCGTCTTCCATCGTTCTTTCCCCCTCTTGACTTTTCTCCCTCTTCCCTCCTCATTCTTCTTCCATGTCATGAGACAGATTCCCTACTTGGCTCTGACAAGTTCCAGTCCTGGAGGTCTGATGTCACAGTGCTTACGCCATATGGCTGAGCCCTGCCATGGTTCACGTGAAACGTGCCGCATCTTCCTTTGTGTAGTTTTATTCACATAGGTCTTTTCTTGTTTATAATGCGGGTCATTGATCATTTGACCTTTTTGGATGGATCAAAAGGTCTATTAAAGATTGTAGATTCAAATACATATCATCAGCAAAATGTCACTAGCAGTGTTTCTTCAAGATACATGTTTTACAAGCCTTAACTCATTATTATACCTGCATTTATGTTTGTGCAGGACAAAATAAAGACCTGCATTAAAGAATGTGGCTGCTGTCTCAGTTTTTGTCCTAAGGGAATGCACAGCCCCAGGGTTTATTCCTGGGACACAGAGAGGTGACCTGCAGTGAGGAGCCAGTGACACAATATCTCTAAACACTGCCTCTAAACACTGCTGCGGCTCAGTGGGTTAAGCTGCCTCTGTGACACCGGCATCCCATTTCTGAGCACTGGTTCGAGTCCTGACTGTTCTACTTCCTAGACACAAGAATGCCACAGCTTCCTGCTCATGAACCCGGAAGAGCAGCAGAAGATTGCTAAGCCATAGCCACCCACCCGGGAGATGGAGTTCCTGGCTCCCAGCTTTAGCCTGCCCTAGCCCTGACTGGTGTGTGTACTGGGTTGGTAAACCAGAGCATAGAGGTGCTCTCCCCCAGCATCTGCCTCTCAAATATATATAAAATTATGACATGTAAATGAGAAATTATATGTTCAGCAGAGCATTATAATAGCAAATATGTAGATTTTTTACCTATGGTTTAAAAAACGTTGGTAACTTCAGAAAGACTTATTCAAGTATGACTAAGTGAAAAAAAGCTTGTATGATTCCATACATAAAGAGTGAAAAGTGATGATTTCTAAATCTCTAAGGACTCAATTTTTTTTTTGCTTTCTTTTTGTGACTTTTTAATTTTTCTAAAGAACAAGTGTTATTGGTATGATAGAAACTCCATGAATATTTTTGACATTCTGGAAATAGGATCCAGGCAGGAGCGTTTCTCGGTTCTGTTTTGTTTTTGTACCTCTCCAAATCCTCTAGTAAGAACACGGCAAGTAGGAAGGCAAAGTTGAAGATCAAGGGACAGCATCTGAGATCACAGAGAACAGAACCCTCAGCTCGCCTACAGCTGGTCGGAAACAGTTTGTGTGGGAATAGCAGCTGGAACCCAGGGGGACTTGCAGGCTGCAGTTTGTAGGTGAGAGGAAAGTGACAACAATGGGAAACAGCGTGTGCTAGAATCCTCCAGTTGGTGTGCTAGAATCCTCCAGTTGCTGACAAGGACAAGGAGCGGAATCCCGCTCTCCTCGCATGTCTGTCCATATCCCTTGCCCATTTCACACCGAATTATTTCTTGACTCTCAAACTGAATTCCTTATGCAATTTGAATACAAATCCCATATCAGATTCTGGGTTTTGCAAATCTTTTCTCCCATTCTGTAGGTTGTCCCCTCGTGCTGCTTGATTGTTTTCTTTTGCTGTTAAATTTCAAGTCATCCCTTTGGTCTATTGGTGCTTTTGTTGCTGGTGCTTTTGAGTTCAGGCCAATCATTCCTTGGACCAATGTCATAAAATTTTGTCCTGGTCTGAAGGACGCTTGCTTATAAACTTGGCGCCTTTCTGAGATTCTGTTGTGGGGGATTGGGGGTCATCTGCAGTGGAACAGAGGACACTTTAGATGAAAGAGGACGCAGCTCTCCAGCAGCACTTGGCGTTCACACTGGTGTCTCAGTGTAGAGATGCCTCTTCTCTCTAGTGAAGCCCTTTGTCTTAACTGATAAAAGCAAATCTTGTGTAAAACAGATGGCACTAGGCTGACAGCCAAGCTTGATGGAAAATAAGCTTTGGGTTTGTGTCATGCAAAGACAGCATTGTGATCAAGAGTTTCTAAATTAATTTTGGAAAACGCCCCTGGAATCCACAAAATTACTACTCAGAGGGCGGCCCTTGTACCAAAGGCATCAACGTGGCCTAGAACTGTGTTAGAGAAATGCAGAATCTTGGGCCCACCTCAGTCTTACTGAATATGCATTTTTAAATTAGTTAATGTCCTGGATTACAACCAGGCACTCTGATGTGGGCTGTGAGTGTGTTAACCGCTAAACTTCATCCCAGAATCTGTATTTTGACAAAACCCTGGGGGATTCCTCAATATTTGAAAAGCTGTTCTATCTGCAAGCCTGTGATCTGACTCACCCCAATTTTCAATGCCTTGGTGAACTATAAAGAGGATTTGGATGGTTAAAATGTAATAGGATAATAACAGAATTGTTGTCAGCCATCCCAGTATAGAAACAGCATCTGGGAATATTCCTTCCAGCCACAGTGCTGGCTCGCCCAGGTTTGTCGTGACTCAGAGGTGTGGGCTCTATGACTGTAGCATGATATGAATGTGTCCTAAAGTGCCTGTACATCATAGGTACAGGGAGGAAACCTACACTACTGTCACCTCCTTCTGCAGTCAGAAATGTAACTTCCCGCCTGTGATGCATCAGAAGCCACTCAGTGGAAAATTCTTCCAACCATCAGAGGTGTCAAGTTGTCACCAGCAGTTCTCACCTAGTCAGGTGAGCACCTAGTCAAATGGAATGTATGTCACAAACATCCTTGATAACAAGTACAGTGTTAGGGTACATTATTATTTCTTTTAATTCTATTTTTAAATTTTTGATGATGTTTACGTAGTTTGTCAGGGTGGGAAGGATGGAGGACTAGGGACGTGTGGGTGAGACCATTGTTTCCAAAGGTTTCTTCTCCTGTATATGGGGGAAGAGAACAAAAGAGGGGAGAAGATGCACCCAGCCTCCCAGCTGCCACAGAACCCAGGGATGGGGAATGGCCACCCTGTGTCATCCCAGGGTCACTGATGTGGAGCATGCTTTGATGGTTCAGCATCTGGGTATCCATCCACTGCTCCATCTAAGTCATTGAGGAGGCCCAACTCTCACACATACACTCCATGGTCAAACCACAGATCCTGTGATTCTCCCCATGGTTGGAATTCTGGGTTCAGTGGCTCAGCTGGGGGATCTGTCGCGCCCACGTGTCTTATTGTCCCGCAATAAGACGCAGACGCGAGTGGAGTCTTCTGCGGTAAAGTTTATTGCGCGCACAAAGATGAGGAAGAGGAAGGGGGCCCCAACCCCTGCAGGCTTTCTACTCTTATGTGCTGACCGGCCCCGCCTCCGCCGATGATAGGTCGGCGTCATGATCACGCAGGGTCCTGGGCGACCAGATTCGTCAGTCCCCAGTGTTCACGTGCCGGCCACGCCGCAGCTCACTGCGCATGCCCTAGGCGCCTGCGCAGTACCGCGAAGGCTACGTGACTTCCACCACGCATGAAG